ATAATCATGCCATACTTTTTTCTTTTCTTCTTTAAATCTCTGCACATGCTTTGAAAGTTTTTTAAATCCTGAGCATGAGGTTTGATACTATCGAAGTGCAGTCCTCGTGTTGTCCTTTTAATATTTTTTTTATTATTTATTATGCAATTTATGAGGGTCATATTGCGGTGTTTGCTTGTACTAGAAGCACCTTTAAGCCGGAGTAACACTGCTTATACATCATACAAAATGCAGTCTGTAGATGTCAGTCACCGCGATATCAGTGGTTCGGATGCCACATGTCAAGTTTCTCCTCAAGCTCGTTGCCATGCGGCACTCAAAGCACGGATCTCATGGTGACTTGCGTTTGAATGTGTTTGCAGACTGTCTTTTGTATAATGTATAACCAGTATGAGCCCGGCTTTAAGGAAAATATTACAGTAGTGAGATATGACCCCCTCGCAATGATTTTGCCAATTTTGTTTTTTATAAACTTGGTGATAATTGTAGGTACTGATTGAAGGGGTAGGGCATTATCTTGTAAACGTCTAGGTTTTGGCACATGTAGCACAGATTACCACATCCCGTTATGCACCTTGTGATGTAACTTAATTGATATGCAAACAGGCAATAAGATCTCAAGAAAAATAACTCTGGTTTATTTATAAATTGCAACCTCATTCTAACCTTGCTTATTCGGTATTCCAACTTCCAACCTGGCTTATTTGCAGATTTCAAGCCTTGAATTTTTTTTATTAGACTCAAAGTACTTTGCGATGCAGTGGCTTCGAGCAGTTTTTTTTATACATTACCCTGTCTGTCATAGCAGTCATAGTCATGCATATGTTGACCAGGAGTGGCTGTAGAAACTTCTCGATTACAATCCTAAAAGTTTTTGTTTCATGGTCATCTCTTGCTGGGCACACTAGAAGGGGGCACTTCTCTAAATACGGCAAAATCAGTGCTGTTAACTTTTTAAACACTCTGCACTTTCTAATATTTGGAACATCAATGTCAAGAGCTTTCTTGACAGTTACCAGCGCTGCCACAGGTGGCGAGCGCATTGGCAAATATCGGCGTTGGTCGTCTGCAAGCACATCTGCCTTTCCTCCTCCTTTCCTCCCGACCACGCGAAAGCACTGCGCATCTGCACTTGCCACCAATCGGCGCGGGAGGCGTCACTAAATTGCAAGTGCTCCCCATGGTTTGAGATGGACGTCTCTTTCTCTCTACAGTCTAGGGTCTCTTTGTAATTGCAGCGATAGCTACGACACCTTATCGAACCCTCAAGTGTCCTTGTGTATCTTGCATCTTACGTGGAGGAACCATTGCCAATGTCTGCTCGGAGGGTGACGCACTCATCCATAATGATAAAGCTATCCAGATAGATGATGTCACACGACTACTCGCATAGTTACGTGATGTTACGACGTCATGTGACACTATATCATGTGACAGTGTGCTGCCACATCATTTTGTGACGTCGCAAGACGTCATGAAGTCACGTGACGTCGCGGTGTCGAGTGACGACACAGACAGCCTACATCATTTTGAAAAGAGGAAGAGCCCTTACCAGCTATTGCTGTGAAAATGCACAACGCACGTAAAATGTGCTTTGTAGAAAGCTGTTTCGGCAAATAAAGGAAAACCAGTTCGGCAGTCCTACCAGACCAACCTTTTCTTTTTTCCCCCCGAAATCCCAACTACCCATTTGGGCGGACCAGGAAGTTAACGAAAACAAAAAAAGACAGCGGAGCCCAGGTAAATGCAAGATGAAGCCCGACGACGCGACTGACACCACCCACCCGCAATGCCTGTGATGCTGACTGCTTGTCGCTCTGTGATGAATAGGAGGACGTCGCCACCTCGTGGCGTACAACGGAGTTAGCACAATTACGCTCGTTCTGCTGGGGAGCGAGTCGAATGGGGCGGTCGGAGAAGCCTTCGCGCGCGTCTCAGAGGCCATGGAGCAGTGTATGAACTATATCCGAAACTAGCTTTTTTTTCTTGGGGTGATGACGAGTATGTATGGGAGGATAACAGATTGCTATGTATGAGCTCTACAGTTATCTGCTTTGCATCATTTAGCAGAGGGTGCAATCTGATCGGAAAAGGAAGTGTGCGGCCAATAACGCTTGCCTGACTCGTGTGCTCTGCTTCATTGAACTTGGCAAGCGGCGAAAGCTACAACTCAGTGAGCCAAACAGAGTGTCAGAACGGGACATGTGACAACGCCTCCCATGAAAAGCTATCTCACGCTTTTCTTTGTCTCTCTGGTTGGCCCATGGGAGTTGTAGCGTTCTCCCAATGTCAACTTCTGCTGAATTGCCAAGTTCATCGGGGCTTGGAGATTCAACACCAGGATTTTAATTTTATTTTGGTGCCCACAGCAACACCATGAAACACATTATTTACAGAATGAGCAATTTTTAAGAACATTATATTGCTAGTAACAGCTTCACACATTCTTTTTTTTAATAGTTTTTGTTTTGAAAGCACGAAGGGCAGTTGGCAGTGATGTCAATGGTTCCTAACGTGGAGCCATCAGTCAGGTAGCCCCGGATCGCTTTCAATCTGCGCATATATTTCCTAACTTTTTTTACACACCATTCCTTTACCATGGGCTTGAAATAATTGTGACGCTGTTATAAGTGACCGTTTCTCATAGATGGTGCATAGGTTTGATCCCTCAAATACTGCAAAACTTTCAGTCTAGATCTTGTTTCACTTTATGTGCGAGCAAAGCCAAAGAAGCTACAAGCACGTTTCCCTGAAAGACGCTTTCACTGCACAAACACACATGATTGGCAGGGATGCTGAAAGCCCAAGGCTCTCTCTCGTAGCTACTGCTATGCTCATGCTTAAACATACTTAAAGCACCACGGAGTTTATTTATATGCAGATGAGAAGTGCTCCTGGGCTGTCTTTTAGATGCTGCCAGTCTGCCGCTTTTTTTTCTGGTTGCAGGTGATTGCGAGCGAGCGCGCGTGTGTTGAGTTCATTGAGGGGATCTCATGTGCATCCTTGTGATCGTTCAGGACGGGATTGCACGATAGCGCCGTCAATGGGGTAGCCCTGGAACTAAATTTCACTAGAGCAAAGGTTCTGCAATATTTGCGAGATGAAATGTGCATCCTACCTATACTCGTCGTCAGATCATAAAACAAGCAAGTTCTGCTTATTGTTCCTATGCCGCGCGAAGTAGTCCTTACAAAAGTTGGTTGTCAGGTGAAGAAACAATGCTTCTGGCGCTTGAAATATATGTCTCAGCAAAATAGCACGTCGTAAATCTGAAATGCACATGGACAGGACATATCTTAATTCCCCTTGTAAAGGGATAAATTAATAATGCTCTGCGAGGAGACGGACCTTTGTTTACTGCGGTTTTTGAGGTGAATTCAAGTATGGGAAAAATGGTTGTTTATGTCGTCAAAAATATTTTTGTACGGGCCAATAAACAACGAATGATTCGCGAAAAAGAATAGGAAATATATGCGGAGCGCAAGTTCGTCTGCTTCTTCTAGAAGGGTTCTGGTGATGTCAAAACGCCGGGCTCTGATTGGCTGTGATTGAAAGATAGTGGGTAGACCTTAAAGCAAGCTGCCTTGAGGTCTACCCCCTGTCGTTCAATCAAACCCAATCGGAGCTCGGGGTTCTGACGTCGCCAAAACCCCTGCAAGAGAAGCAGACGAACTTGCGCTCCGCATAGAGATGCTCAATGTTCCACGTCTACCCCCAGATGATGTCCTGTTCCCGTCCTCGTCCTCTCTGTTTTATACTTTCAAGTTTTGTATCCCCTAGATGGTTTCCGCGTGTTCTCTCGTCAAGAGGCTTTAAGGTTTTAAGGCACACGGTCGTAAAGGCTGGTTGACACACTTGCGACTTCTCCATTTAAGCGAACGCAAGCGTGTGCACCAGCCTTGAAAAGGGCACTGACACCTTAAAATGTATGTTTTTGTTGTTGTCTAAAGCAATGCAAGGTGTAGTCATAGACACACAAAAAAATACCGCATACAAAAAAATAAGATTTCTCGGGCGAGTTTTTTTTCTATTTTTGCCGTTTTTCTCTCTCTTCTCACCTCCTTGCTTCTTTTTATTTGTGACATCAAAAACTATTAAATTTAGATGCTTTGTAACTGACATTTCTATAATATTTAATAACGGCATTCGTAAGACATGTATTTTAACGGAATTGGAAACGCACTACAGTTCTTTTTTTTTTTTTAAATACCGAAAATCGGAGACCGGAGTGATGTCGCCTCCTTGCTACCGCAGTATCCTGGCTTTTTATTCTCCCTCGGAAAACATGGCGGTTCTGCGGTGCCCAACACATGTAGCACTGATGATAATTGGGGAATCGGACGAAGTTCTCTTTTTTAGATGCCCGACGACATCACAGACTTTGAAAAGTAAATTGTCAGACAGTGAAAACAACCTGGGTTTGGTGTCTGTAGCGTAGTTTTGGTTGTGACTTTGCCGGGGCAGACTTTCACGCAGAACCGGCGCAACGTTTTCCCTTACGTCACTCACAAAATTCCGCCATGCATTCTCTTCAAGCTCACACAGTTTCAAAGAATGCGAGTTTGCTGAAAGGGCCCTAAAAAAACTTAAAGCTCGAAAGTGGAGTGCCGTTGCTCACAGCGATAGGCGACAGGCAGGGAGAAGAGCGTTTGGTCTGGGACGCGGGTGAACGCGACACTTCAGGTCGGGAGGGATCAAACTTTGGAGGGTTCAATCTTTGACATCACTGCACTGGCGAGGATCTCGCGGGAACTTCAAATTTGACTTTAGGGAATTGTTTTTTTACTTCACAAATACTGAGTTGCCAAGTTCAGAATTTTGAGGGTAGCATCTAGGCTTCATTTTCAATTGTTTAAAAAAAAAATATATATATATTTTGACCTGTCAGTTTCCCTTTGAAGCGCACGGTTGTACGCAGCTGCAAGAGTGTGAACCGGGCTCGAAACTGAGTACCGTTTTGGTATGTGACCGACGCCGATTGTGACGAATGGTGTGTGCAGGGCCGACAGCAGTTCTACCACCGGCGCCAGTGCCAGCTGCCGCCCCCCGCGGGGCCCGGTCTTCCCCGGGCACTCGAGTGAGGCGTCGAGCGGATCCTCTGGGCCCTCCTCGCCCCACCAGGACGCCCCCAGCGAGGAGCAGAGCTGCCCCAGCGACGCCCTGCTGTTCTGCCCACCCCACGACCCGCCCCCCCGGCCACCAAACGGCCAGCAGCCCCCACCCCCGGTCAAGTTCGGCGAGCTCGTGCTCCTAGGGTGAGCTGCTGTCTGAGCGCAGGCGTCGAGGCGTGTCGCCACGGAAACCGCCTGTGAATGTTAGGACCGGTGCCGTCGAGGGTTACTGGAGCACCGAAACTACCGACTGTCATTTCAGAATCGCGGCACTCGCATCAACCGCAAAATCTAATCGAACCGGTGCGGTCAAACCTGTAAGAACCAATTCGTGAGCGTGCAGACGGGCCGACGTACGGAAAGCCCTGAGCAAAAGCCAACGCACCTGTCGCTTTTCAATTTTGGATTCATTTTTTTTTCTCCCAGTGTCAACGTGGCTGACTTAGGCCAATCAAAAAGCGCGATGGACTATCGTAACGGTCAAGCAGGTGCTATGAGATGCTGTGCTCTGGGAACGCTTGGTGGCAATGGCTAGAGGTTGCAATTCTGGTGGTTGAAGTCGATTCACGGTGGAAACCAGAACATGACAGCCCGGCTTCTTCGAGCTCGTATTGATCTTTGGCCATGTCGGAACTTCAAATGGCCGTCTAACAACTGTATCTAGCTAGGAGTGTAATGCAACCCTAGATGTTTCTATTGCCGCATAATTGTGATATTAACTTTTGCATTGGTGAAGGTGCCAAAAGGTTCAGAAATATATGGGATGTTTCTTTTTAAGCTGAACAGAGTTGTTAAAAAAAGATACGTAAAAGCTATGCCAGTGTGGTTTGTGCAGGTAACTTGTACGGCCAGGGGGACACAGTGTAAGGGGCTAATGGTAACAATGAGTCGACTGATTAACTAAAGTATATTAATGTCTGAATTGATGAAAATAAGCATATGGCTCTAATTAGAAACTTGCTGAACGTCATCGAAAAACACTAAATCAGTCAATATAAGCATGGTGGATTGCTCGAGTTACCACTCCAGCCGGAGTGAGGCTACTTGTGCAATAATGCGCCTGCGTGCTTTTCCGTCTCTTAATCACCTGCGTTTTCTGACCCCAGCCTTGTGCCTGTTGCACAGGTGATAACTTTAGAGTTCTTGCACGCTCAGTCTTTGTAAGAAATTCTGATCTAGTGGTTTTTGATAATGCTCAGCAAGTTTCTAATTTGAACCATATATCTATTTTTACTAATTAACAAAATTTTGATCATTATTCGACCTATTGAGACGATTAGCACACTATGTATGTCTCCATGTCCGTATAACTCGCCCGTGTGCATTAGTGTGTCGTTCACGGCTTTTTTTAAACAAATCTGCAAGGCCTAGAAAGAAACATCTCTGAGTTTGCTTCATAAGCAAATGTGACATACAAGAGTAGGAGAGCAAGCAGCCTTGACTTCAGAAAACAGGGTTTGTTTCTTGTTAAAAAAGACTCTGGCTGTTTTTCAGAATTTTCCCTGTACATATTAAGTGAGGTTGCTCCTTGCTTGTCACAGATGGAACTTCGAAGGCGAGTTGCCAGATGTTGCTGGGTGCTCATCTGGGAACTTCTTGGGCTTGTGTTGGCTCTCTATGGCTTTGATTACATTGGCAGTCAGCATCTAGCCCACTTATTTTTCACGCATGCATACACTAAAACTTGAAGTCAAATGTTCCGGGAAAAGTCCTCGCTCTTAGGCCAGTTCTGCCCGATGCTCACCGTGTCGAATTCTGAAACAGCCGAGTTGGTGGGAAGCAACAAATTGTTTTATTTGCCAATAGACCAATCTCACAGACAGTCTCATTACGCCACCTCCATGGATTATGGGGACTGAAGTCTTCCTGCGTGAGTGATGACAGGAGGGTCTGTGCGAGCAGAGCACAAAGCAGGACGCGCTGTCTCGTGAACTGGCGTCTGTCTCCTACAAACTACAGTTATAGCGCCATCACGCAGGCGTGGAGCGCTGCTTAGTGAGATTGGTCTGTTGGATGGACCTGATTCAAAATGGTCTCACTACTTCATAGCTGTGTTGTTTCCCCTGACTATTCTTTCTTTGTTATAGTTCTGTGCCAATTCTTTGTTTTACTTTTCATTTCTCGCCGTACCTACCGTAACATTCCGAAAGATTTCCCACCCGCGAAAGATAACCCGACTCCTACCTTTAACATAATTGGCTTTTTTTTTTCTTTTTTTTTTTTTTTTAGGAACGCAAAAAGGTAGTTTTTTTGTTTTTTTTAGGAATTGCAGTGCCCTGGCCAATGGTGACCCTGGCCAAAATGGGGTTAGTTTGCTACGGTGGGAGATAAGCAAGCAAAGCTAGGTAATTAGGAAGGACAATTGTCTATGCTCCTTTGTCCCTGAAAGTGAAAACAAGTTTGGCAGTTCTCAAGGTAGAAAAATGTCTTTTTTTTTTTTTAAGCTTTTCTTAATTGCACATTGAATGTTACCCCACTGCTCATTGTCACCCGATTTGCTCTCACGTTTAGGTAGGCCATCTCCCGGGATATTACGGTACGTCCGGTATCGGTCTTTGCCTTAGGTCGGTTCCACCGTAGTGAGTTCCAATATGAATAGCACCTCGTTAAAGGTGCACCGCCATGGAAAACTCCCGAGCCCATAAAAGAACTGTGGCGACGGGCTGCACGTCGGGTCAATTCGTTGCCTCAACAAAAGTAGAACAGTACCTGCGTCGAAGTGAGGTACGCCGTGAATAGACACGATTGGTTGAACGACGTGTGGCGGAAGTCGAGCACCGACACGACCGTGGGAACGAGTGAGAACGAGTGAGAACGAGGCGCCCTTGTGCCCTTTTAGGTACAACGGCTTCCTACCGCAAGGCGAAAAGGGAAGAAGACGGAGCAGGTTCGTCCTGCAACGGCGGCCCTTTCCCAACGGCGTCAAGAAGTCCAAGCACTACGTCGTCAAGACGCCGCAGTCTTCAAAGGTAACGTCCTGGAAGTACGGAGTAAAAATGCCGCGTCATAGTCACTCGCGACGTGAGAACGGCGGGGCTTGTCTCGTGCGCCTGGAGTGCACATGTGCATGTGCGTAGCCAAACCCCGGCGTGGGGCACGGCATTTGTGCCGGAGGCTGGGTGTTCGAGAAGCACGCCCCGTGGCTCTCGTTTTGTCGGGGACCATCGAAGCCACAAATGCGTCGAGCTGTTCAAAGCGAGGTTGAAATAAACTGCTGCGTTTCTTATTTATTTATTTATTTATCGCACCTACCAGCACCCATGTGCCTATTATGGTGGAGCACGAAAAAATGCTCGGAACGCAATGCTGCACAAACGCTCCATAATGAGAGTGCAGCACTCCTCTCGAGCGACGAGAGGTCATCGTCAAAGATGTCAACAAACGACGTGTCGAGACGATCGAAGAAGTTCTGAACGCGAACTAGCGGGGAGAAGCAATGCGCGCGATTGATGGCGAACTTGTGATTGCAGTGAATATGTTTCGGAGGAACGTTATTATGTATGCGAGATACGAAAATTTGGAGGTCGTAATACGCACGTGGGCACTTGAGCAAAAGCATTAGATCGCCACTTTCTCGTCTAACTCGGTCAAACCCAAAAAGTTTTAAGTATGTTCTGATAAGAGTGGGGCTGAGACGAGTTTTGTCTGGCGTGAAACATTCTCGTTCTTACGTCGCCGCAGCGGCGACACTGACTGGAGATTGTTTGGAATAACTGGTGCAAAATCTAGTTTTTCAAATTGACGCTTCTGAACGAGACTTAAATACAAAATGGGTCGCGAAACGTAGAACTGAGTTGAGTGGCAATACTCTAAAAGATGATAACAGGATCGAACAAACATGACTATCGAAGTTGAGTTCCTCACCAAGCATTACACCTACGTCACGCACAACCGATGCTTGCTTTATAATAGCGGTACCGAGATATAGTGATCTGAGAAAACGGGGGGAGTTTTGCGTGAGAACGTTAGCACTCGTGATTTTCTAGGACGGTAGTTATGGTCTAGCATTTTGGAGGCACTCCGTGCCATATTTTACTTTCCTCGGCTAGCACCCGGGTGTCTCAGCTCGTATTGCTGCGGACCGTACGTCTTGAATTTTTAAACTCGAAGTGAGTAGCTTATGTTTTCCCCCGCTCCTGGGTTACCGTGTCTGTTCGTCGGGAGGATCGAAAGTGTTAAAATCGTCCGTACTAGACACCAATTGGAAATTTGAGGGTGCAAGCACGTTTCAGTTACATCGTTCAAATGGCCACAACCTATCCGCTATACTGTATACTGGTTGCTTGCAACCGGAGAGGCTATGGGTGCCCATATACAATGTGCGCGCCAACTCAGGGAAACTAATGGCTTGGAAGAAAACTAAGCGCAGCGGGCTTTTGCGTAACTTCACAATCAATTCTGCCCAATGTCTGACCAGTCTTTGACCTCACGGTGTTATTCGTTTACCCGGCAGGACGATTTGAATCAATGCTCAAGTTAATATTCTGGCCGTAACACGAGCGAGTGAAGTCACATTTTGACAGGCGTAACTTCGCTGACATTGCGGTTTATTTCGAACAAGGACAGAAGTCTTCCTAACGTGTCGCAGCCATTCGACTTCCGACGCATATAGAAAGGACAGTGACAATCAAAACAAAGAAATTGTAATGAAGCTAGGTATGTTAAGGTAACTCTGTTCTTACTTTTTTTTTAAATGTAAAGGTTGGTTTACACACTTGCAACTGGTTACGACCGTATGCCTTCAAACCCCTTAAAATTTCTTATCACGGGAAAACACTTGGCATTTCTGTATATTTCCTTGTTTTTTTTTTAGGTTATCGTTCTTTCTTGGCTTGAAAATCTTTTGACAATGTTATAAACAAACATTTTTCATCAATTGTATGTACATTTGATCTCGCAAAAACCAGAAGCCTTCACTCTAATGAAATGCAGTTCTAGGGTCACCTCATATACGGCGCAGCGTGCCGGCGTACACGCCCGTCGTAAGAGATCGCAAGAATTTGTTCGTAAGCAAACGCAAGTGTGTGGACGGGCCTTGACTCGTCCATAAGTGTTTTTTTTTTTTCTTTTGTTCGAGGCTACCAAAGAGGGAACAGAAATTCTCGCGACTAACCAGAGGCATTTCCATCGTGTTGTTTTGCAGGCTGTGCTGGACACGAAACAGCACTCCATCTCATACACACTGTCACGGACGCAGGCGGTCATCGTAGAATATGTCTTGGACGAGGAGACCGACCTGTTTCAGGTGAGCCTGGCCGAGTATGGTGTGGAGTCACTCAAAGTGGCTCCCAGAGTGCCGCAACTTATTGTCCCCCGCCACTCGCCTTCACATTGGCTGGGACGAATCCTGCTGGCACTTCGCCGTTTTTGTTCCCGACGCAAGTGTCTGAAGAGTCGCAGAATTTAGTCCAGTCCAATAGAGAGCACATTGCCACCGCACTTTTTTGCGTAGGTGATGAAGTTGTGGCTTGCAGATTGAACGAGCCTATTTCAGAGGTTTTGGGTGGGATAACTGCCTTCGTCGACTGCTGCGAACTCAATCACTACGAAGTCAACACAACTGTCATCGTTGCCGGCTGTGCCGGTTGTTTGCAAAGCAGCATAGATAGAAACAAATTGCCGCGGCGTCTTTCGCGGTCTTGGAGATACAGGATGAGCCAGCGTTAAAGGGGGGGTGCAACGATGTATCAATTGGAATATTTTTCACTTTACACGAGCTTACTGGCAGTAGTGGGACTCGAGGATACTCGCACACAACGTCACTGGCCAAGAAACTCTTTTGTTGCGGTGTAATTTCAAGGACACAGGTGAGCATTTTCCTTCAATCCCTCTGTCGCAATACTTGATGACGTAGCTGGCAGTCGCACTATCGCCCAGTGACAATATTTGAATGCGGTTCATGGATTGGACCCGAGCATTGCGTAGGTACTTGATTTGGAAACGTGATAATCGATAGCTCAAGAAGCATTCGGGTGGTGGCCCGTGTTCAATTGCTGCAGTGACAACAATAGCCGAACAAAGCTATGTCGGAAACTCAGCGCGTGTCCTGTGCCTCTGCCAACCCCAGCACATGGCTGTGTTCAACATGGGCGGCATATAATAGGCTCCAGATCACGTGGCCGCTTGTTCTGGCTGCGAGTTGAGGGGATGAGATCGTTTCGTGAATATGGGCTCGGACCTTTTGATTCTGGCTGGAGCAGCCACAATAATCTCTCACGTGGAAGATAGATATCCGTTGCTCTCTCGCTGGGAATGGTGGCCGTCACTGTTGCTAGAATAGAACCTTTCCAGGCTTCAGTCTCGCCACCTTGGTCACTATCATCATCCGAGTGTATGGCATCTAAGCTAACGGCGATCACTTCCCGCAATTCTTGGGCATAAAATGGCGGACCATTATACGTGGAGCATGTACGGTTACTGCAGATACCCCTTTGAGCGATTGCCCCTAAAATACCAAACATGCACCCATGTTTCAACAAGCACCTGCCCGCTACTTTTTAAACATTTTAATGGTGGACGCTCTATATTTCATTCGCTTAGATTTAAAATTTTTAAATCTAAGCAAACAAAATATAGAGCGTCCACCATAGACTTCTGAGCTGACCTATCAGTGGCATAGCCACTGCTAGGTCAGCTCAGTTTGGGAGTGGGCTGAAGCCCCCTCCCGAAATCCAGCCGACCCTTAATATACACATGCATTTTGACACACCCCCCCCCTGTTCCGCATCCCAATTCATGGACATGCCAGCTACTTGAGCCCCCTGCCGAAAAAGATTCCTGGCTACACCACTGTGACATAGCTAATTGAGATCCTCCCCTGCGTCGGCCACTTCTCCGAACACACTGCTGCAGAGCGGTGAAGCTTACCTCGCATGCACCAGGACAGAGTGGTGAAGCCCACCCTTCCTTGTGCCCCTTTTGCATTTTGGCTCTCGGACCTACCAAGCACCCATTCCCAATTTTTCTAGATAAGCTCTAGTTCTTGACTGGGCATTTGCTAGGTATTCTGCAGTATTATATTTGCCGGACTAGAGTCTGCAAACCATATACATGTTTGAAAGTTGAAATGTTTTGCAGTGCAAACTATGCAGGAATTTTCGATTTTTCAAGGTTGTTCGTTGTGACTAGACGTGACAAATTTTGTGAATGAAAGAGTATGTTAATGATTTCTGTATGATACGAGCTTCTTTGTGAACTAGGAAAGCGAACATTTGTCGAGGTATGCTGTGTATGAGGAGATTTATGTGCTGACTAAGCACCATGTGCGGACTTTCTTAGGAAAATCTTTTCTAACGAAACTTTCCCTTTGTGGACGATACACCGGGCGAAGACTATAGTTCGGTAAGTATGGTAGTATGGACCCAGGTAGCGCAGTTCTTAGGGTCAGAATTTGTTTTTTTTTCTGGAAATTTAGGGCCTTAAAAAGCCCAAAGATGCCAGGGTAAGGCCAAACTTGACCTTTTTTGGCCAGAGTCTGGCTACCTTGGCCCTAACTTGCCAAACAAGTACCAGAATTAGGCTTCACTTCTGGTTGTTCAGTTTTTGTGTGGCAACTTTGGGTCTAAATTGCCAAACAAGTGCCGAATTCAGGCGTTGCGCTGATTATTCGGCTCATATGGCACATCTTTGGCTCGAGTCTGGCACCTTGGCAGTTATGTGGAGTGCCGGGGAATAGTACCGTAGCACTAACTGGCATCTTGGAGCGAAACCGAGTTAGGCTCAAAATGGGCCCTTAGGATTGCCAAGGGTTTTGCCGCGATTGCAAAGGGCTCGAGCAGACGAGCCTTGTTCCTGGTGGGCGTGCAGATTGGCCGTTCGTCGGAGAGCCCCATTGACTTCGTGGTCATGGACACGGTGGCGGGCGACAAGGCCGGGGGAGGGGCCTGCCGGGTGACCCAGAGCACCATCTCGCGCTTCGCCTGCCGCATCCTGGTCGAGAGGGGGCGCTCCCACCGCTCCCACATCTTTGCGGCGGGATTCGACTCCACGCGCAACATCTTCCTGGGCGTGAGTCCATCTGCTCGAGTACTTCGCTCGGCCCCCTGCCGGCTCAATGTTTGCGCAATGTCAACCCGACGTTAGTGCTATGTTGGCCCAACTTGCAGTGGAGCATGCTAGAGCCACTAAATTAGCTATGCCTAAAAAAACACTCAAATCGTGGATTTTGTTTTTTCTGTAAAAAATATTTTTAGGTTAATACTTTTTGTTGCAAGACTCGTTTTGAGTTGGGTGAGATTCCAGAACATGCTTTTCTGATTAATAATATGAAGGGGGCTAGTGAAAAATAAATAAAAACTTGCAGCTTTTTTTGGGTCTCCTTGTTATTAACATATCCTCTCTGACAAGAATGTATGCTTCGATTAAATATGGTTCCTAGATGAGACAGTGCATGTTTGCGTAATGGCATGTCACGACGGTTGTTTCCAGTCTTCTGTGATGCGTATGGAAGAAGGTTTTAAATGTTTCAGCGTGCCTCATTTGGCATATGAGCCTGACAAAGTTGGGCCGAAGAGAATGGTGTTCGAGGGTGCAATGGGGTATTTTTGAAAAACTTACATTTTGTACTTTTTTTGTCGCATTTACCCCTGAAGCACCTTGACAATTTTATGAACAGGTCCAGCAGGTGTCCTACTTTTTTGCACTGCCCATTGCACTCAATCATTGCAATTTGTCAGTCTGCAACGATTTATTCCTTGAAGTTTGAAAACTGGTCCACTGGTTCAACGCATCAATTTTCAAACTCACCATTTAAAATTTTTTTTTTACTTGTAACTTACATTTGTTTTTCCTTCGTTGTAATTTTGTCAATTTCGTGTATTTTTTGTCTACTTTCCACTTCCTTCTGTAACACATTCTAGGCCTTTAAAGTAATTAAATAAAGAAAATAAAAAACTATTGCAGTTTAAAAAGACACTGAACCTAGGAAAAAATATTTTGTTTTTCTACCTGGTTAGGGCAGGCATAAAAAAAATTTGTTTGCAAAATCAGCATAACCACCTGTAACTCTAGCCAACAATTAAGGTTTTCCAATTCAAATCGCCCAATATTTATGTTACAATACAAATTTTTCGATTTGCGGGTGAAATCGATTCTGTACCCCTGCGGGATGATGCTGATTGCATTTGTACCCAACTAGTGTGCTCTCTGAGGCAACTCTGAGGTCCAGCGAACTCGGAGTGCACATTAGTTGGGGTACAAATGCTATCATCATAATCCCGGAGGGGTACAGTTTCGGTCTCGCCCGCAAATCAAAGATTTTGTATAATAACATAAATATTGGGCAAAAGGAATTTTTTTTTTTTTTTTCGAGAAACATTTATCTTGAAACATGCCTGTCCTAACCAGGTAGAAAAACAGAATCTTCTTTTCCTAGGTTCAGTGTACCTTTAAGGAAGGAAGGAAGGAGGCACCAATGACTCATCTGTGCACTCTTCGAATTTTGGAATTGTGAATGTTCTGGCGCGTTAGAAGTTAGTTTCAAGTTTTGCGCAACAAACGTAGACGATGAGGCTCGGGTGTTCTCGCTGCAACGCAGGAGAAGGCTACCAAGTGGCAGCACGAGGGAGAGATCGATGGCCTCACGACCAACGGGGTGCTCATCATGCACCCCCAGGGGTCCTTCTGCGGGGGAGCCACCCCCGGCATCTGGATGGAGGTCTCTGTCGGCGGAGGGGTGTACGCCATCAGGGAGTCTCGGTCGGCACCCAAGAAGGGCGTCAAGGTACACTCCTTTTCATCTCGGGTTTTTTTCTGGGGGGGGGGGAGCATTTGAGTTGCTCGGCCTCTGTTTTTGGTCGTTAGACTGTCCTGCAACGAAATGTCGTTGAAAGCACCGTTGCTATGCTCCTATAGCTCTTAACTTTGAGCAGCCCCCCTGGCCAGCAAAATCGGATACTTTAGGGTGACTTTTCGGTTCTGCGTTGTCACATTCTTCCACATTGACACGAATTTGAAAAATAAAGCAAGTACAAAAGTCGAAAGACACTAAATAGCATATTGATTGGATGCTAGAGGCGTGAGTTGTGCTGTTCTTTTGTTGACTTAGGCAATTTTTAAAAAAAAATCATTTTAAGCACTTGGTTAGCGCGCATTGAGAGACACCGAGATGCCGACGGACACTTGTAAGCATTGTCCGTGGATCGTGCACGATGGGACGCTAGGATGCTGCTTTGCGTCTCGCGTACTCTAGCGGAGGCCAGAGTGCCTTGCCTGTGGACGCTGCAGCGTCCCCTGGCCCAAAGAAACCGGCCCATTCGAAGGACAAAATTTCGTGACTTCGGAAGCGTTATGGCAAGAGTGGTGGCTATTCTGCGCGATGTTTGGCGAACGCGTGTGCGAGTTTGCATGTAGATTTTGATTTAGTGCCTCACGTTTGTTGCAGATTGAAGACGAGACAAACATGCTGAGGGACGGCTCCCTCATTGACCTGTGCGGAGCCACGCTGCTCTTCCGCTCGGCCGAGGGGCTCATGAAGTCTCCGGTGCGTAGCCCCTTTGCTTTCGCTCTCACTCCCTTCGCCCGCTCTTTTGTCGGTCACTCACTCTAACCAACTCACTTTGCGCTCACTTGTACGCTCACCCACTTTCAATCACTCATTTGCAGTCACTCACTCCCACTGTCTCATTCACACCCACCTACCCTTGTTCACTGCTCACTCTTGCTCATACTTACTTGCAGTCCCACTCACTGACTCGTGCTCAGTCACTCTGTAGCCCACTTATTGTATTTGCTCGAATATAAGTCGACCACGAATATAGGTCGATGCCTTTATAGGCCCGTTCACACTCTTGCGACCTCTTAAACCTGGGTTCCTTAAAACTTCTTAAACCAGAAAAAACACTGGCGCCATCTATTGGGAAGCAGTGTAAACTCGGCGGTCCGGCCTATTTTTTTTTTTATTTCTCGTGCATTATCCTTTCTTTCTTGGCTCGAAAAACTTTTGTCAATGTTATAAACGAGCCTTTCTATGGGTATTACGCACATTTAACCTCGGAAATCCCGCAAAACCTTCGCTCTTGTGAAATGCAGTTACGGGGTCACCGCATAGATGGCGCCACAATGCCAGTGTGTTCCCTCATTCTAAAAACATTTAAGAAGTTTTAAGAGAAATCGTCTCTCTCAGTCGTACTCGGTCGCAAGAGTGTGAACGGGCCTTATATTGAACTTGCCGAGAATACAAAAGTAATGTAATTCAAATATAGGTCAACTTTTCTTTTTTTGAAGGACAGAGGAAAGTTTAGGCAAAAAAGAGAAACAAACCTTTATTTACAGCTCACTCAGCTAAATCACAGTGCGATGTGAAAAGCTTAATCATTGTGAGAGCTTCAGGACATGTCGTTGTCGGAAGCCTCAAAGCAACAAAAGACAAAATACAAAGACGTGAACAACGCCGCGAGCCGCCATTGGCCACGAGAAGCAAAAGTAACCTCCGTATTTTGTTTTGCTGCGCGTCTGCGCAGCAAAACAGGAGGGCTGGAGGGAAGGGGGCAAGGTGCTTGGCGCCGCGCGTTTCCCTCCCTCTCCTTTCTCCCCCTTATGTCGCAAGGGGCATGCGCGAGCGGCGACGACCGCGGACGGGTGCAAAATACGACGTCTGAGCGACGCGTGTGAGTGGTGGTCATGGCGGGCCTTTGGCTGCTGATGTTTCGGTTGCTTACGTGCACCAAAAACTTTCCAAAACAAGAAGCGGCGCAACACTACGCAACGCTATGGCGACGCCGGCTCGGTGACTCGATAGCTTCGTGTGCTCGGAGGGGTCGTGAAATTTTATCATAAATGGGGGTCGAAATTCCCTAATCACGATTATAGGTTGACTCTTCATTTTTGACGACATTTTCAGAAAAAGTGGTCGACTTATATTCAATTAAATGCGGTAGATCTGTTTACTCATTTACTCATACTCACGCAGTCACTCTCATTCGTTGTGCCACACATCCACACTCATTCGCATCTCTTACTCGCTTATCCTCGGTCGTCTCTAACTCACATCTCAGGATTGTGCAAGAGCACAGTTACGCGTCGTTACAGACACGGTACTGACGGCGGCGCTCTGTCCGCTCTTTGCAGACGAAGCACCACTTGGAGGAGAGGCTGCAGGAGCTGAACGCCGGGCGCCCCCAGTGCCCCGTGGGGCTGAACACGCTGGTGATTGCGGCCCGCGCCACGCTGAGCCAGGCAGACAAGCAGCCCTACGTGTACCTGCACTGTGGCCACGTGCAGGGGCTGCACCACTGGGGGCTGCAGGACCAGGCCACCAACGAGCGCACCTGCCCCATGTGCCTCAAGGTGGGCACTGAGATTTCAAGAGCTGCGCGATGCGCCATCACGCCGGTTGCAACGCAGGTTGTCGGACGGCCGAGGTCCCCAAGGCCTGTTCACAGACCTGCTTTTGCTTAAGACTGAGCTCTTGTGAACTCTTAACCGGTTGGCTACTGTGCACGTCGCGCCCTGCCAGGCCGTCTGTACTGCACATTTTTCCCCTAAAACAGGGCCACACTAGGCGTGACTGTTTTGCTTGTATAATAAGCTTTTACAGTAAAACATGTTTATTTACATGCTTTAGTGGTTCGTTCAAGTCTTTAAATCAATAGGCCCTCACAGATTCTTCCTCGTATGAAATATCTCGAAGCGCTGCATCCTCGATCGCTTATGCGTCGCACAACCAGTGCGCTTTTGTCATGATTCGGACTCCGAAATGCTGTCGGGATCGCTCCCGTCGTCGACAGAAGGCTCCGAAAACTCACTATCCTCACCAGACGTCTCGTTATCATGGCTGTTGAAGAAGATATATATGATTTCACCGTCAGAAAGGCCACACCGCACACTGCACGCTGCCATCTTCTCTAAGCAGGCAGTGATCGAGCGGGAAAGACGGCACACAAAAGAACAAGCTCAAAGAAACACAGCGGACAGAACGGTCCTCTCCATCTGTTGGCAATGTATCTAACTGCACTACCCCAAGTCTACATAGCGCTCCATCTATGAATTACTCTTTAAAACAGAAATTCATGCAGACCGGCAAATCGCCGGCTTTGGCAATATGGGCCCTTACGGCACACCCGGCAATTCGTCAGCTTTGGTAGCAAATGGGTTAACTAGAGTTTCCAATTGCTCAGTTGAGGTCATGTGGTTTATGGGCTGCATTTGCAGTATGAGCTGCGAGGAGGTGACCAAAACGTCGGCGGTCGGCAAATGTCTTCGTCTTTCCGTCCTTTTTCCCCCTCGCTACGTGAAAACGCAGCGTGTGCGCACTTCCAACCGATCGCCGCGGGAGGTGTCCACCATTGAATTGCAGACGCACCCGGTGGTTGGAGATAGACCCTCTCTTCAATATAGGCTCTCTAGAGAACACACTGGCAAGCTGGCACCATCTGTGGGGTGGTCCTGGAACTGCTTTTCACTAGAGCGAAGGTTTCGCGGTATTTGCAAGGTCAGATGTGTGTACTGTCTACGAAAGATGGTCGTTTATAACAATGCCGGAAGTTCTTCGAGCCAAAAAATAAAGAATTGTGGGCTAAAAAGGGAATGTACAGAAATGATGAGTGTTTCACGGCTTCCCGAGAAAGGGTGCCAGTTTTGTTTGCTCAACCTAAAAGATTTTGAGAGGTTTTGAGGCACACTGTCGTAAGCAGACAAAGGTATGTGAATCGGCCTTAATAGTTCAATAAAGTATATTACTACAACTTACCAGACAATAAGGCCAGAGCACTGGGTGCCATGCATGCAGGGTATTGCAGTTAACTTATGCCAAAACTTGAAAAAAAGAAAAGTTGCCGCACGTTAAGCGTGTTGAACCAGCGCTGTACTGTTCGCAGTCCCATTGAGTGGGTCGAGATATTTGTTGCGATGTGCCCAGCTGGCTAATTTACGAACAGAAAGTCGGGGAGCAAACAAGCTGGTGAAGATTAGATTCTTCCACCTGTTGTGTTTGGAGTTAGTTACTGGCTGTAGTGGTACTGTTGTGGAAAGAGGGCGATTGCTTTTTTTTTTTGTCCGTGCAATTTTGGTCTCTTTGTGGCATTTCCTATTTAAGCACTTTTTGAGTGAAATAGAATTCAGCTGTACACTTTTCATGTATGTGTTGCCCTTTGCCTACTTGCAGTCTAGGGGTTGAATTATGGCTAATTAAAACAGATTAATTAGCCTTTTTTTTTCAATTAAAGGGTGCAAATTTTCTTATGCCAGATTTGGAGAGCGTGTTGAGAAACATTCCATTGTGTTGTTTCCATTGAGGTACACCTCGCGTGTCTAATTTTTTTTCGAGCTTTAATGGGGGACACTACCCCCCCCCCCCCCCCCTCCCAAAAAAAAAAAAATGAAAAATATATATTTCTAAAAAAAAAAAGTGATTTTCAAAAATGCTATATTTACATCACTAACATCTAGAGAGTATTCTCAGAAAGCCTCATTTGTTTAAATTACTTAGTTATTTTTTTTATAAATTATTTTCCATCCACCAATGCTAAAGAAAAGGTTGAGGTTCGAGCACGCATTTTTCTCCATTCCACTTTTTGGCATAAATTTCACTTTAGGGAAACTACCGTTTGGTCACGGAACAAAAGGAAATGCTCGCTTATTGTTTTGCCTAACTATAATTTAATGGGCAATGCAACTGTGGCATTATTTTTTTACTTTGTTGATGTTTTTTATAAAACATCTTAAGATTTTGTCAACAACATAAAAGTCAGAAAAAGTAGGATTTTTCACCGTGTGTAAGCATAAAATAAATTACTTTTTGGAAATTTTGCTTTCACAACTGCACTCTCCAAGCATTCTGCTGTGTATTTGATGAAAAGAAATGTCTGTGTGTTCCCTATAAAAACAACCGTAATTTCTTCCACAATTCATGTACACAGATGAAACTTCGCACTGCATTCTGCCTCACAACTGCCAGTATATACTGTAAATTTCATTCATATTAAGCCACAGGTTCAAAAGTTGACCCTTTCAGGTAGTGTCCTCCCTTAAATAAAGCGCACGAGACTGAAAGAAGTCCCACGTGACTGAGGGCACTAAGGTTGCAATTCGATACCAAGTAGTCACGTGGGACTTTCTAAAAATTCTTCACCCTTTTTTTAAAGCTCGAAAAAAGTTAGACACCCAAAAGCAACCTTAATGGAAGTGACACAATTGAATGTTTCCGTCGTGTCGTTCCTGCCACCTACCATTCCGTTACTTCCTCGTCGGACGGCACGGGATGACGGCGACGCGCTCTGCTGCGCCCTTCCGCTCAGGTGGGGCCTGTAGTGAAGCTGTGCATGGGCATCGAGCCGGCCTTCTACGTGGACAGCGAACCGCCAAACTACGCCTTCAACCCCTGCGGTCACATGGCCTCCGAAGAGACGGTCAAGTGAGTCCAAAAGCTGCTCTGTGTTCTAAGACGTGTTCTTCTAATCATCGCGAAAAATCGCCGCACGAGTTTCGGCAGTATGGGGACGATTGAGGAGAGTCAGCTTGCGAGCCGAATTGACCTTGCGAGCTGTTCGACGAAGTTTTCAGATGGTAAAGCCCTGGCACTCTGCTGGTGCGGTCGCTCACTTGGGTGAGGGCAGCGGGCTGCAGGACCAGGCCTAGTGGAAGTAGACAGCTGCCACCCCCGGGACATCCGTGTCCAGGGCTTGAAACGTAGCGCCGCAGTCGCCCGGTGTACTTCCCTAACCTAGTATTTTCTCTACACAGGTCTACTAACCATAAGCAACGAGTAGAACCTTGTCGATACGTTTTTTAGGGACTGTGGAAAAAGAAGCGCATCACCCGGGAAAACGTAACAACCGATAACGCTGTTGGTGGGGCTGCAGATGTGACGGGAAGCAGCCCTCACACTGGGATTTACTCCAGAATGACTTTTGGGGGTTCGGAGAACTACCATGGTGGTTACCATATAGCTGGGCATTCTTTTTCGGCACAGTTATTTAGAACTAGCAGTCAACCTATACCGGATCTACCCGATTAAAGAGCGCGGCCACGATTGCTACCTCGAGGGGCAACTTTTCATATTGCTCAGTGGGGAAAATAGAAGCGCGAATGTCGCGCGAGGCTAATAGAGAAATAAAACGGTACCTTTATCTTGCTAGAAATCGTTTTCAGCACGATTTTTGACAACTACGCTCATTCACGTCGAGCGGTGACCAAGTTTTTCTCGGCTCTTGCTCCCCTCCCGAAGTCGGAACGGGCGTCACACTGAGCCTGCCGCATTGTCATCAGTTCCATCAAAACGTCCGACAGGAACGATATCCGTTAAGATCCAAGAAAAACTAAAACACATGCTAGAGACTAGCGCGTTAAAAATTTGAATTCTTTGAGCTAAGTGAGCTATCTTAAACAAACTCCGATCGTGCCATCGCTTGCTTGCTAGCCGCTATCGATTCGAACGGATTTGGATTCGACTAGAGAATTCGAAGCATCCAGCAGAGAGGCCGAGAGGCATACGTTGCCAACAGAAAACTGAAAATCCACCGCGCGCGGCCCAGGAGCGCGGGTTCGGGAGCACCGAGGGGCAGATTTTGGATGCAAGAACCGATAAATCAAGCGCAACAGACGGGAAACTAGTACATGTTTCTCTATGGGAGTTAAATGGGACCGGTGTTCGTGAACGTAAAAGCATGGAAAACGTTTCAACCAGGAACATATCAACAAGGTTCTGCTGTATGCCACGCATGAAGTATTGGTGAAATGTATGAGATAAGTTTATGTATCCCTCAGAAATGTTGTCTATGATGGATTGCTTAAACAGCATGTGACACCTCAAAACAAAATTGAGTTTGTTCGTCCGGGAACAAAAGTTGTCCATTGTTGACTACTATTAGCGCCTTTGAGCGTGCTTCTTACTGAGCACCATTGCACTGAGGAGAAGCAACACCCGCGGAAGCGAGCTCCGTGAGTGTCTCTTCCCTGCAGTGCGCTGGTGCCCGGTAAGAAACGCACTCAACGGGGTCCACGAGAATGAAAGGCAGGGTTGTAGGCATTACCGAAAAAAATTGACGAAATACGTGACTCGTTATTGCAAATAAAAGAAATGCATTATTGACCTAGGTTACCCTAAAATAAAAGGCACGCATTATCGTTACCGATAAAAAGTGGCGCACATTACTTTTGCATTACTTCTTTTTTTATGAATGAAAATATTTTACTGTTTTGATGTTAGAGGTATATTTCAAGCTATGTTATGCTCATGCAGAAAACTAAAGAGCAAGAAAATTAGGCTTACCTGGACATGCTTCTTTAAGTTGGAGCTTAAGCACCTCATGCATTTTAAAGGGGTCATGAAACAATTTTTCAACTTTTCCTTTGTTTTTCTTTTCAACTCTAAAATCGTGCATTGTACCAAACAGTTCAAGAAGAGGGAAAGGAGGGACCCTCCTCTTGCATGGACTATCGTTTGTGCACCCGAACACCGCCATTCTCCCCTCAGAAGATTAGCCCGTCGCTCAAAACTCATAAAAAAGATGCTTTCCCCACCCTGTTCACCCCTAAGCTGACAGTGCTGTGGAAGCTACGTGCTCGATGGGCCAGCCACACTTTTGCCATGTGATCACGCTGCCTCGCACATATCTACACGCAGAGAATGAAGTCGGGTGAGGAAAGGGAGGCGGCAGAATTGGTCCGGCAAGCGCATGGCTTCCATTGTACTGTCAGCTTAGGGTTGAAGGAATAAGTGAGGTCCGGTGTTGTGTGATGTGCGTTTGGGCCAAGTGACGCTCTTTGGGTACCACAGATGTACCACAGTGAAAAGGCAGAGAGCTTGCAAAAGGAAGAAGGTACGAAATAGTTCGCTGTGTTTTCAAAATTTCGTACAGAAAATCAGGCTTTTGATTTTGTACCTTCTTTTATTTTGCCCACTAAACGATATGCTATTAGTAAAATCCCTATCTAAATTAATTTATTCATTTCATAGGTCGCTAGCATCAGGGATTCGTTGTAAGCGGTATTTGTGCAGGGTGTGAAACTCATTGCCTTCCCCATTTATAAAGCTATATCTGTGCAAACCAGTTTTGAAGCTTTGAAACGGAGAATAATCAACCCTACTCGGGTACTTTGCACACATGGTTCAATCTGTTTAGTTTTGTGAGACAGCCAGCATCAATAAAAAAAAAAAGAAAGTTTTACTGCTCGGCTTGACCGACGGTTGTGGGCTTACGGAATTCGAAGAAGGCCTTTGGTGACGCCTGTAGCAGAGGGAATTGCGGCGGGCATACTTGTAGGGTTGGTGCTGCCATCTAGGCGTGCTTTCTCGCACCAGGTACTGGGCTTCGGTGCCGATCCCCCACGGCACCAACGGCCTCCAGTCGGCGTGCCCGTTCTGCGCCGTCCCGTTGGAGGGCTACCCCGGCTACGTGCGCCTCATCTTCCAGGACCATGTCGACTGAGGGCGCCACGCGTGGCCCCCTGCGCCCTGCCGCAACGTTGGTGGCGCGCGACAACGGACGGCCGAGTCGCGCGTCGACCCCTTTCTTCCATTTTTGTTTCCTCGTCCTCTTCCTTTTACAGTGCGTGCGCTCGTGTGCGTACGGGGAGGTGGTAAAACGTCCCGACTCTGGTTCTTTCGCCGACGGGTTGGTTCCGTGTCGTTGCGGAACGTCGGTACACCACCCGCTTCCGTGTCGTCAAGATTGGCAAGCGAAAAACGACGGTCGTACCCGGCCTCCGAGACGTGATTTCGCCGGAACGCGGGTAGGGTCGTCCGAAATGGGATTGATGTTGAACGAGCCAATATTACCCAGAAGGCCAGGCCCACGCATGACATCGACGCTAGTGGATTACCGAACGCGTTCGCCTTGGCGTTGCGCTTGTTGTGAGATGCCACAAGGTCTCGTCTTGTCTTCTAGGTGGAGTTGAACAAGCACCGCACCGGGGGCAGTGGTAGGTTTCCGAGAGCGTCGGGAACATTGTTTGCACTTTGGATGACTGTAAATAACGGCTTGCTCGGTATTGTCAGTACCGTGAACGACCTTAGACGTGCGGAGAGCGCGTCCGGAACGCAGTTTCTCGCTCTCGTCGGAACACAACTGGGCGGCGATCGTAGATCGTGTCTGCACAAGCATCGAGGCGGATAGTAGAAATCCCACAACCGTACTTGCTACGTACTTGGTCTGGCCCCGAAATCGAGCTGCTGCTGTAGCATGGTGTGTCATTTCCTTGACCGCGGAGAGCTCTGTTGTTTGCAGGGCCGACAACTTTGCGGACAGTGTTGCGCGAAGGATGTGGGGTCTTTTTTTTCCGTGTTTAGTTACTATGACGTGCCATTCTAAGAGCCAAGCATTGCCAAGGTTGACTGAAGGGACCCGGGTTATTTCGCTGTTTGGATAATTTGCTTGAAAGTGTGAGTGCCTGGTTCACGCTAGAGTTTGTTATAGACGTATCGTCCGCCTTTTTATCACTCGGAGTGAGCTTAAAACTACGGCCACGGACGATCTCCCAGTTGACTTTATTAGCGCATTGTGGCTGTGTGATTGTGTAATTGTTTATTTGTGGTGTTTTATTTTTTGTTTTTATTTTGTACCATGGATTAGGTAAGATTGTAAAGAGATCAAGTCTTTGGCATACTTCTTTTGTTCAACTAAATTGAAGGGTAACAGGTCGCAACTCCATTCCTTGTTACTATTGATCTACAATTAGGTTATATATTGATGACTTAATTGATTTGAGCACTAGGCTATCATCGGCGAACCAGGAAAGCTTCGTGTTCTTTCGACCGTCATGCTTCCGTCGTCTTAAGTTATCCTGAAACGTCTCGAGTATTGGTCGTGGAATAGGTAGCGTCAGTCTAATTTCCAAATTTGGGAGTGTGTAATGTTGTCGCTGTCTACTATAGACGTTTGCCAGTACGGCCTCTGGGCGCCGCCATTTTTCTGCTGGTGTGGGTAGGTCGTCCGAAAGTCGAGCGTTGCTGAGGTGTACCCACGGTTTCCAGACAGGTGCCCGAACAAAGCGTTTTCCATCCACGGTGGCCAGACTAGCTCTTGAAGCGCGGCTGCTTGCAGACGTCTATAGAGCCTGTTTCGAGGGTCTGCGAAATTCGTGGCTTACCCGAATCAATCATTACTGTCCGAATGTCTAGAGCAAAATTTTACCGCACGTCATTACAAAACCTCCAGCACCGTTCCCAATGACCTTCAGACGAAACAGTCGCGCAACCACACGTATGTGTTTTTGGTGTGCACATGATTCTGCGGGCTGACCAATTCATATCATGCAGTCAGGTTACATAGCACGCGGGAGGTCGGTGGCATTAAGTGTGACACGAGGTTACCGCAGTGTCCAGAAGATGGCGCCACGCTACACGCGACAAATAATGACGCTATGAATAGGTCGCTCTCCGCTACCCCATTCCCGTTCAGCTTTCCCGAGAGTTTTCTTCTTTCTTTTTCAAACTCCCACGCTTGTAAATAACACTGAAGAGGCGGCCAGACGTCTCATTGAGCGTTTTCAAATGGTAGTTTCTCCGGTGCCGCGCTTTTGTAACGTGATTTCAATGGACGTCGCCGCGATGTACGGAGCGTGCATCTATTTTAAAGATTGACTATATTTTTTTAAGTGGAGTAGATGGATGCAAAGCGTCACGGTCGAGTCTGAATTATTTCTCGAAGCGTGCGGACAACCCTGTGATGCTTGCGGGATTTTTTTTTGAAGAGGGACATCATAGAGGATCTGTCGCGGTAGCAGTTTTGGCGGATCACAAACTCTGATGGGGCTTGAATGATGGAATAAAACATCAGGTTTTGGCATGACAAACGCTTGTGGATGTCCTTAGTTTTACATTAGGGATAACTTCAGTTGGAAAATGCATCCGATATGCCGGTGCAAAAGACTAAAGTGTCAAACTTGGACTCGAGCTTTTTTTTTTACAAGTTGATGTTTGGTTTGTTGTGTGCTAATATTTTGTATCGCTACTCTTTTCCCTCCAGTAATCAGAAAAGATATGTGTTTTCTTCCATAATATTGTTGCGAAACTGCGTCTATCCCAGTTCAGCGAAGTGTATGTTCTCTTTTTCGCGTTTTCAAATATAGCAAATGCAAATGCAAGTGTTGTACATTTGCCCACCTCGTCATCTACTGTTATACAACCTTTTTATAAACGTGAGCAAGAAAAAGAAGAAAAAAAATCTGAAGATCTCTTTTGTGGCGTAACGGCATGTTACTTTTTTTTTCCACGGAAGGGCTGGATTGTGAAGTAAACGTTCGCCCGTGGGGGGGACCAGATGGTTTTGAACTTTTGCAGGTGTTTTTGCCCGCGTGTACGGCGCAGTTTTTTTTATGCCGGCATTTCGTTTTCCACATGCTGTAAATACAAACACACATACACATTCACCTTCTTCCAGTTGATGTTTGTCGGAACGTGTCGCACACGGTTTGTAGAGGTTTGACCGACGGCACTGACCCATGTCGCCAAGTCTAAAGGGAACACTTTGAATAGGAAAGAAAGAATGCACCATTCCATTATTGACTCTTTAAAATTTGGTTTTGGTGTCTTTAATGTAACGTGATGACAGTGCGACGCACGCAGTTAACCTAATGCAGTAGTGGTGCGACACAACCGCAATCGACTTCACAAAGCCAAATCTTGCAGCTCATTTCGGAATGCGGGCTATGTCGCAAGGAATGTGCCGTTGAGTTTGTTAGGAATGTGCCTCTATGCTTTAGCCCTTGTAAACTGACTATGTTACGGCCAAGATTGGTGTGTGCTAGATGGACGCTCCTTCTGGGTACATAGCTGGTGGTGCATAAGGGCTTCAGTCTATAAACCAGCCATTTTTTTGTGTTGCAATTGTTCACAAATTTGTTCTGAAATTGGCTGATTATCGGTTGTGGATAGGTTACATTGGCGTATAATGCAGAACTTTCATATACCAGTAGATAACCACGAGTGAAACTTCCACCATGATGCTCGGAATTTGTGAAAGCGGAGCATACCACGACTTGCGTCGCCTTCGGCACAACTGTGAGGAAGCGGGGATAACCAGATTCCTCTTCTGCATGTGGCACCTCAACTTCTCTCCTTAAAATTTCAACTTCTCTTCTTAAAATTTGTTGTCTGGTCACCTCTATTTGTTTAATAGGCACTGCCATAGCCAATTCTGGGAACGCTGAGAAGTTTATTTCTAAGACTACAGATGCACGCCTGATTTGCTTCTGTATATTTTTTCTCGGAAAATTACGGTGCTGAAACTAGCAGGTGAAACTTTTCAACTCTTTTTGCAATGGTTTCGTTTTATCAGTGCACAAATTCAGTTACCTTCACGATCAGAGGCTACACCAGGGCAAAGTTTCCGAGTTTCATGTTACACACTTGGTAAAATGAAAATTTATTTTGGTTTCATGGGTGCTTCTTTTATTACCATTCCCTCCCTTTTATTACCACGGAAAATTATTTGTAGTTGTTCATTATATATCCACATCATATCCCATTCGGTTCACTTTCTGTAACGTGCAAGTGTTACAATGTTATTAAAATATTGCTTTTTTTTTTCTTTTTGGCCGTCGTGGCAGAATGTGGAATGAGTGCATTTTTAAAACTGCAGATTTCTTGTTATCTTAGAAGAAAAAGAAAAAACATTTTGGTGCGTAAATTTACATGGTGAAGAAAAAGGCTATGCTCAGGCAACAGAAATTTAATGATCGTAGGTCCGGGTTTATATTGTAGTTGAGTATTTAGTGTGGTGCTTTGATTTTCTTACGGGTTTATCGAAAGCAAATGGGTCCTCTGGGTACTAAGCTTTACATGTATGCTTTCAAAGAAGGTTTGTTGGTAGAAGCATCTAAATGTCGTCCGACATTTTCCTAGAAATGTAGATAACATGGTGCGTACATACCGCGTGCTTTATCTTTCATGAAAGTGGCGGCGTTTAAGTGTACTTCGAAATACCGGCCTGTAAAGACGGCCTGACACAATTGATCTGGACAATGCATAGTGCTGCGGGACACTCAATTTAGGTAAGGTGCTGCAAGTATCACAAAAAATAGTGCCGAGTTGTGTTCCTTGAATGAAGACGTTGGACAATTGACTGGGGTGTAGTCGTTGGGGTTTTCACACTGCACCAAACACCCTTCTTTTTCGTGCATGCACTAATTTGTTCCCTTTTTTTCTTTGTTTTGCCATTTGAGGAAAGAAAGGACTGATCCACTGGACAGTGTGCGGGAGTCCCTACCTGTACCTTTTTTTTAGTTTGTGTTCGATACCGTTTGGCTGCGGCCGACGACACTACGTCCTGGCTTGACGCTATTTATCCACTGTAAGTAAATCTGAAACTGTAGATACTTTCTCTCGACTGGTATTCTATGTAACATAGAATAAAAATCAAGTTTTCGATGACACGTCTGACTCTCTCTCATTTCGCAACTGCAGATGTAGCGCAACGCCCGTGGCCCATCGCACATTTGCCGTTGGTTGCCCGCGACTCTCTGGGACACAGCCCCCAAGCATCAAGCAGCTACTGACCCCCGTTTTCATGTCCCGAGTTTTCGAAGTTTATTTTTCGTGAAATTCGGAGGATGTTTTTGGGACTTTATATTTCGCTAAAGATTCAAGGCTTATCGGAAATCTTTTATTAGAAAATGTTTAATTTTCTGAAATTCGAAGTTTAATTTTACTGTGTCTCAATTGCTTTTCTTTCTTTCTTTTTTTTCCCCCAATTAAAAATAAGCATAAGTAATATCCGGGCACAAATGTACCCTAAATTCATACGAACTCACCTGATCGAATGATGTCTCCAGCTGCACTTGGCATTAGTGCCCTTGCCATTGGTAATACTGTCACACGACAAATCTTCAATATGAGTGTTGCTTCAAATAACGGTGGTACTTGGATATAACTAGGGTTCCGTATTTCCGGATAAATATGAAAAATACCCGCCGGTCAAATTTATACCAATTTGGATTTATCCGATAAAACTGAATTTAGAGGGGTCACAATGTCTAAGCAAAAATAATAATAATAAATAAATAAAATGGTTATGTACAAATAGGTTCGGTACAGGGTCAGTCAGTGATCGTGAGTAGAGGCCACTTCAGTTTTCATTCCAATCTCGGACCATTGACAAAAGGGGGTATGCTGCATGCAGACTTGTACGTAACTTAAATACTCTACTCAAGTTACTGTATCTTAAATACTTTTGTGAGTAACTTGGTATCTTGCAAATATTTTCGAATGTCAGTATTTAGTACTCTAACTTAAATGCTTTTTTTAAGTAACTTGTACTCGTTTTAAAGTTATTCAATTCCAGTGTTTTTCCTTTAGAGGTGTGTGAGGCGACCATACTTTTCTTGTTTGCGTTTATATGCTCTCTGAAATGTTACTAACAAGTGCACCAATGTATAGGCTTTGGCTGTTTTGGGGCATTCAAAATAAATAAACAAAGTTACTTCTAAGTTACTTTTTATTTTTTATTTTCTTTAGAGGCGGAAAGCTTGAAGATGATTGAACTCCAGTGATTTTGGCTAGGCGCCCTGCCATTGCAGATACATTTCGTGCCAGGTAATCCAGTGCACTTCCGTTCTTCTGTTGAAAGAGGTGACACGGAGAAGCAGGTGTCGCAGCCTCAACCCGAGAGCGGTCGTGCGTCGTGTCTTCCAACTGCAATTTGTTCGTGGCCAAGCCCAAGAGCAACATAGATTCCGAAGCAGAAGGGCATGCGGGTGAAAGCATAAGATGTGTACAAGGCTACAAGCCAGATAAAGGGCACTTGTGTCGGAGAAAGGGCGGGTTCTACAAGCGTCTGGTAAGAGTTGACAGTAAACCGTAGTTTATTCTTCTATGTTATGGAGTAAAAGCATATAAAAGAAAGCCTTCCAGCTTCACAAATGCCTCTGCATCCGCACGCTGTCGGACACACCGCTCGTTCGTTTCACTAGCCTCTCTTCGCACACAAGACTCGTAAGACGCGACTACACGGCTCCAGTCCGGAGGCCCATCGCTCGCGGCGTACGCAGCATTAGCGAGTTTTAGTAGACCGTGTTTCCCCCTCCGTTAACACTCCCCTACGAAGAAACCGCCACTGCGCCTGTGTGCCGATGGCCTTAACTGTAGAGTTCCGGGTCGCGGAGGGGGAAACACGGACTACTAAAACGCGCAGTGGCGGTTTCTTCGTAGCGGAGGGGGAAACGCGGTCTACTAAAACTCCCTATTGCCTTGGGTAGCACGAATGACCGCCGGCGCCCACCACGGTGGCGCCCGCTCTCCCCTGGCCTGGACTCTCCGACCCCCGACTGCACGGCACCGCCAGTGCACTGACGGGAAAAGCGGAAATGAACACCCGACACAAGGGGAGTGTTGGAGGCGAGCCTTAGAAACTCCCTCCGCAGGCGAACGGGCGCCCTGCTGCCCTGGCCTATTTCCTCGCCATAGCAAAGGTATAAAAGGAAAACGTTTTTATTTTTGTTTCATTTGTAGTTACTTGGGATATCTTGGGACCTCCTAGAAGCCTGCGCGGCTGCCAAAGTCTAGCTAAGAGGTTTCGGTTGTGCTTAACAATGAATTGCAGAGAAAATTGTAACTTGAGAGTATCTTAAAAGTAGCGAGTTACTTTTTTGGAGTATTTTGTCCTTTACTGAATCACTTTACAAATTTGAGTATTTAGTGCTCTACTCAGTTACTATTTTTCGTGATACTCAGTTACTTAACTTAGATACCGTACTTTTAGTGAGTATCTTGTACAAGCCTGGTTGCAGGTTTATTTCCTCGGAGGTTCGTTCAGAAGAACGGGATATACTTCTGCGCCACGGCCCACGGCAAAGGCTACTGTTCCAGTTTAAAGTTTGGATTCTACGATTTTGGCTTAATAGAGGGCAGAGGGGTTCTGTTTTATAATACTTAATAGTTTAATTTAGAACAGTTAGTCATACCAATGGCAAGAAGGGCGCCAACACCGGATCCAACTGAAGAAACATTATTTGATTCAAGCGATGTTCTTATGCACTTCGTGCACTTTTACGTTCAGATAATTATCTGTTTGTTTAAAATTTTTGAATGATTGCGAACACAGCAATATTAAACTGAATTTTTGGAAATTAGAAGTCCCATCAAAAATAGACTCTGAATAACACTCTCCGAATTGCACGAAAAATGAACTCCGAAAACATGGAATCCTAGGTAACTATATAGTCGCTGGGAAGCAAAGGAGTTCCACCTGCTCTGTCACCTCCTTGGAAATCTACAGATTCAGAGCTTTCGCAAGCAAATATATTATGGTCCAAACTGGAAACCGAAACGGTGGCTTTTGTCCCATACGAACACTGATCCATTGTTCTGAACCAGCCTTGACGAGGAGATAAACAGGAATACTCCCTTTTGTCAGTAAGGAGTTTTAGCAACTCGTTTCTGGAGCACGCGGTTCCGAAATCGTGGACGATGCAACTGCTCCGTTTCGTGAAACAGTTTAAAATTTTCCGCGTTTAAAGAAATTTGTGTGTGTGTGTGTGTTTTCTAACTGTGTAAACGGCTGTAGCTGCCTATGAGAACCCGTAAAAAAATTTACGAAACTGCACTGCAGGGAAAAAGAACTCGTCGAACGGAAGTCTCGCAATCAGACGGCGTGACAGGTCATGCCTTGGCACGACGGAGGGCTGAGTCTTGGATGCTGGTGAAGAATCGACGCGTGGTAAACCTTCGGGAAAAATTCGGAAGTGTAACGTGCGTGAATGTGTATGTATGTCCCTCTGGAGCAGCGTTTCACTTCGACGACTGTAATTGTAACTTGCGGAACTCGCGGGCGAAAAACAAGTTTGGTTTTTTAAAAGGCCACTAAAATAAAAATAAAAAAATAATAAAAATTTTATTAACAGTTTGGTTGGGTCATTGGCTTGGCCATCACGTTGAGGTGGAGAGAGTTTTTGACCATTCTGTGACGAAATGGACTTTGCGCGCAGAATTTAAAAGAAATCTCGCAGCGTCAATATTGCTCTTACACATTTTTTTCTCATAATATTTATTTTTTGACACGCTGGTCCCAACCAGACTATTTAAAAAGCATTTTTGTTTTCTTTTCACTGGACAGTGTTATACATTTCATTTTCATTTCATTTAATATATCCTTATAGCGCCCGGTAGGGGCTTTACATAAAGGGGGGGGGGGGGGGGGGGGCAAAAACAACAATACACACATACAAATCAACAACACCTTTCCTCTTTCCGCTCTTTTTTACGTATTGTGAAGAGTGGCAATTGTGGAACGAAATCTAATGGACTCTTTTACTGTTATGATGTCGTCAGGGTGGGAATTCCAGTCTGATATAGATAACTGTAACGGACAAAATTTGAAGGTGTTAGTTTTAGGGGTGGCGAGCAGAAGTTTCTGTGAGTTGTCTGTGCGTGCCGACACGTGGTTGGCAGCTGGGCAATATTTTTTCTTTCTTTGAGGGTGAATGATAGTACAGGTGATGATGGGCAGTTAGTCGAATTATTTTACGTCGGTCTGCAAGAAGGGGTATATTAGTTTGTTGTTTTAGTGTAGTTATACTTGTACGGGTATAATTTCGGAGAACGAAGCGGGTGGCTCGGTTTTGAATGGCTTCTAACTTGTCGATGAGATAGGACTGATGCGGGTTCCAGATGAGATGCGTATTCCAGCTTGGGACGAAGAAGAGGTGTGTACGCAATCAGTTTTGTTTCCCGTGTTGCCAAGTGTAAATGACGTCTTAGAAAGCCTAAAGTATGATTAGCCTTTGCCGTGACGTGGTTAATATGTGGTTCCCACGAAAGATTGGGCGTGAAATGAAGTCCGATATATTTATATATGTGAGCATTTTCAATGGGGACATTGAAAAGGGTGTAGTTAAATTGTGTTGATGTGCGTTTATTATTGAAGTTCAGATATTTTGTTTTGGAAACGTTAATTTGCAACTTCCTCTCTTCACACCACGTCTCAAGAAACATCAGATCACACTGCAAAAGCGTACAGTCATCCAGGCCCCAGTGATGTGATTGCTGCGCCAATTGCGCCAAAGTGCGCCAAGGGGCGAACCCTGCTACATCCTGCTACATTTTGCCAAAGTATAGATAGCTGCGCCAAACCTGCACTAAAAAAAAAAAATTTTTTTTTGGTCGCTTTTTAAAACCGAAATTAAACCGAGTACCGTAATTGAGCATGCGTGGGTTATATGGCGCAACCGGCCACCCGACACAAAGTACCCTGCATCAATTGTCCATCCGGTCTTGCATGTTGTTTATTTTTTTATTTATTTTTTTTTTTGCCGTCTCGCGTTCTCGTCGTGTCGTGGGTCTCGTCTCGCGTCTTTTTTTTTTTTTTTTTTTTTTTTTTAAATACCAAATGTCGCAAAAAAAAATTTAGTGTTTTTTTTTTTTTTTTTCAAAAATAAAC